TATTTTTCGCCGTCCCGTCGCGACCGAGGTTGCTACAGTTGGCATACGTTGTGTGTATGCTTATGAGAGAGACAAAATATTGGTGGAAAAGCACCCATTAGATGAAGGAGAGTGATATATCAAAAATTATTTTTAGGACTAAGTAAAATAAACTGCAAATAAAAATAATCATAAAAAAATTATATCAAATTAAGTTTATAAAACAAATATATCAAACTAAAAGGACTAATCTTGATAAAATTTTTTTTAATAATTACTAATCATTATTATATTTTCACAATATTATAAATAAATTTCTATTGAAAATAATTTAAAAAATAAAATATATCAAAATAAATATTATAAAATAAATTACTAATCAATAGTAAATTTTTGCAATATTATAAAATAAATTGCTACTGAAAATAAAAAAAAAACAAATATATCAAAATAAAAGGTAAAATTTAGATAAAAATATTTTAATAATCACTAATCATTATTAAATTTCTACAAAATTCAATTGTTATATAAGTTATTTTGTCACAGTCAACTATATATATAACAATTTTATGAGTTGCATTGAAAAGTGGATTAAAACTTTTAATTACTAATACTAAAGATGAAAATTTAAATAAATATCCTAATATTGTCTATAAAAAAGTTTTCAATAATTTATAATAAGAAGTTAGTCTATATTTATTTTTTAACATTATTATTGACTTATTCTTAATATTATTATATTTTATATTCATTATTATCATTAATTTTTAATTATATAATCAATTAAATATCAAATCACCCTACTTATCAAAATAAATTTAAATCTAGTAATGTGTTATATTTCATACCTAATATAAAGATTTAAGTTTTAGATAATTTGGTCAATAAACATATGTCACAAAGTTAAAAAAAAAAGTGCAAAAACATATAAGAGTAATAAGAGTATATTTACCCTTAATTTATTTAAAATTCCAAAACCACAATACGTCATGAATTAAATAGAATAACCCACATGGTGTAAAAAAAAAACAGAAAAACCTACTCGCTTCTTTATGTTTAAATAAATTCACTTGAAAAGGATTTTCTTTTGAAACAATTTTCCTCTTTTACATCTCTTAATTCTTCCTCTGTTAATGGTTTTTTTCTTAAAAAAAAAAAACTTACAAATGTATACACAAAAATAAGAATTCCCTTTTATTAGACAAAAAGAGAGAGAGAGAATAGGTAAAAAAAAAAAAAAAAACCGAAGAATGAGCTCAATAGTGAAGCCCAATAGTGATGATGAAAAAGGAAAGAATTGAAAGCCCAATCCCACCAAAAAAAAAAAAGAAAAGAAAAAGCATATGATCCAAATTCAACACACAGTGAGTCGTGATCATTCTCTCTCTGCTCTCGATCTCCATCGCCAACTTCCGTGTCTCCGAGCAGATCTCGTTTCCGGCGAAAAGACACGATGTCGGGGCAAACGCAGCGTCTGAACGTGGTCCCCACGGTCACCATGCTGGGAGTGGTGAAGGCGCGTCTCGTGGGGGCCACGCGCGGCCACGCGCTCCTCAAGAAGAAGAGCGACGCGCTCACCGTGCAGTTCCGCCAGATCCTCAAGAAGATCGTCTCCACCAAGGAGTCCATGGGCGACATAATGAAAACGTCGTCGTTCGCGCTCACCGAGGCCAAGTACGTCGCCGGCGACAACATCAAGCACGTCGTCCTCGAGAACGTCCGCGAGGCCTCCCTCCGCGTCCGCTCCCGCCAGGAGAACGTCGCCGGCGTCAAGCTCCCCAAGTTCGACTACACCTCCGACGCCGACGCCGCCAAGAGCGACCTCACCGGCCTCGCCCGCGGCGGCCAGCAGGTCCAGCAGTGCCGCGCCGCCTACGTGAAGGCCATCGAGGTCCTCGTGGAGCTCGCCTCTCTCCAGACCTCGTTTCTCACTCTGGACGAGGCCATCAAGACCACCAATCGTAGGGTTAACGCGCTGGAGAACGTGGTTAAGCCTCGGTTGGAGAATACCATTAGTTACATCAAGGGCGAATTGGATGAGTTGGAGAGGGAGGATTTCTTCAGGCTCAAGAAGATTCAGGGCTACAAGAAGAGGGAGATCGAGAAGCAGTTGCAGTTGCAGTTGCAGTTGCAGATGCAGTCCTCCTCCAAGTTGCCTGTCAACATAGGGGTTTCCTTCAATTCCTCTCACAACTTGTTGGCTGTGGCTGACAAAGACGACGATATTATTTTCTGAATTCTTGGTGAGTCAGACTTATCTACTATTGTTTAGCTCACAATTTACTGTATCATCAATAATGGTGCTTAGTATATATTTATTTATCTCTTTGTTTATTGAGATGGTCAATTTTTTTTCGAGTTCCGGGGTGTTCAGATGATCGTCGTTATTATCGTATATGATGATCTTATGGATTTTTTTAAGTTGTTGTCAAGTATATTACATCTCAATAGAACCTGTAGTTATTGTTGGTTTAGCTTATCAGTTGCATTTCGCCTATATTATATCATGTTTTTACTATTGGCTTGGGATGAACAATAGGTTTAAAGATATGCTCTTTAGAATAATATCTATTTTATGTAAATGCTCAACAATTTACACTTCAAATTTCCATTTAATTTTTATGCACCAGTCTTCCTGAGATGGCAGCAACAAGTGCTGCTCTGAAATTAGGATCGGTGGTCAAAGTTGTGGCCATCTGTTCCACCAAAACCTGTGGTACTTTAGGTGAATCTGCGTTAGGTTTTGGCTCTTCGAATCATTGCTGCCCTTAGATTTTGTCAAATCAACTGCTTATAACCAGTAAAAGCTCAACTTTATGTCATTCAATCCATTTTTTTTGCTGTTTCCAGTTGGTAAAAAAGTATATTTCTTCTTGTAATAACAATACTATTTAATTCTCAGATTCCTCACCTGCGTTAGGTTTTGGCTCTTCGAATCATTGCTGCCCTTAGATTTTGTCAAATCAACTGCTTATAACCAGTAAAAGCTCAACTTTATGTCATTCAATCCATTTTTTTTGCTGTTTCCAGTTGGTAAAAAAGTATATTTCTTCTTGTAATAACAATACTATTTAATTCTCAGATTCCTCACTTTTAGTAAGTTCTTCAATTTTAACCAGATTAAGATGTAGTATGATTAGAGATATATACTGATATAGTATAGCACTAGCTTAATTAATCATCCACACTTGATGAAATAGTTACTTAATTTACATCTTACAGTGGCAGAACAAAAGGCGTTAACAACATTTTCATCCCTTTCTCTATAAAAATTCAAAAGACTAGGTCAAGTGTTATAGGTGAAGAGGATCTAGAAGTGAACCAACCAGATTTTTCAGGGATATTCTGCTTAGTGTTCTCAAGATTCTTAATGCACCACATGTCCTCTGCCCAGGAAGGCTTTCTCCGATGTGGGACTGCATCCCTTACTGGGTCCATTTGGCCCAGTTCAGCCACAATGGCCCCACAACCCCCATCATCTCTTGCCATGTGATGCACAAATCGACATAGGAACTTAATGAGCTGTGTGCCACACTTTCCCTCCATGTGTAGTCTATACACAAAATAAACCCCAAATGGCCTAAAATCATCTGGAAATGAAGGTAGCCTTAGCCATGGCATCCACTCATCCAACAACCTTGTATCTACACAGCATGCATGTGCCAAAGCTGAAACACCCTTCACTTGCAACTTGAACACATCTTTGGTGTTCCACACACTTAATATCACAAAGCTGGAGGGAGAATGCCCCTTTTTAGATCACACTTGGGCATGTGCTTCTTGGGAATGGCCATGAATGTGCCTGAACTCAACTAGTTGGACAAAATCAAATCAACGTCTTTAGGGTAAAATTCTGAATTTACAAACATATGGTTATACATGAACCCTGCTAGGTGTGGTGGAAGTCGAAGCACAGCAATGCTAGAGCTAATTGGCTTGTAGTGAGCGTGCACAGGTTGAACTAGTATGGTTAGAGTCCTGAATTTTGAGTAGCCACATTTTTTTTGTGAACAAATTCACTGAAGGCTCATTAGTACAATCTGTTGCCATATATGCATACATGGCCCCTTTGTGCTTGCACCACTCTTCTAAATGTTGAACTAGTTTTTGTGCCAATGCCAAATCTCCTGCGTATGCCAAGATAACCCTTTTGCTTAATGTTGCCTGATCAAGAATGAAAACATTTATAGCTACTGCTTTTGGGTCTCGGTTTATATTTTTCTTGAAATAGATATATAATCAAAAGTAATCAAAGAGAAATTAAAATGAAGGGCACTAGAGGTGGATCATGAGGAATATTTGAACTGAACAGAAAAGTAAGGTTTGTGTGTGGACCTTGGTGTCTAGATGAAGAACTTTGTACGAAATTCAGTGAAATGATTGAAAATAAGAATAAGACATCATATTATATCAGATCCAATTCCAGTTTCTTATTAAAGTAGCCTTAGTGGATACATCATACATGTGTCAATGACAGGCTAGCTTAACCATACTTTTTTCACCTTTCCATGATACGAGGAACATTGCCTTCTCTTTTTCTTAGAATCTAATCCTTCACCGCTTCTTTTTCCCCCCCTTATTTTTATTAGGTCTGAATGAGATTAGAGGCAAGAAAACACACAACTTCTTGTGGAGAAATGAGAAATATAAAAGTTGATGTAAAAAATGAGAATTATAAATTTGGAATATACAACCATATATGGATGGTGATAATTAGTAGTTGATACTTAACCATTTAAAAAAGTTATGGAATGATTTTTTTAATCTTAATTATTTAAATATAATTTAATGGTTTCGGTTTATAGTTCTCGTTTTTCTTAATAATAAGAGTTATCACTTGACTTGTTTCCTATATTTGTATGACTATAATATGAAATAGGTGATGAAATCGAAATCTCTAGATTTTACCCGTGTATCGCACGGGGATGCAGTGTGGAACTCAATGTAGTGATAGATAGGGAGCTATACCTCCTCTCACCAAAAACGTTTTTAGAAATTAAATACATATGCATAAGTTTTTAAAAATATTTATTTTTCAATTATTAATAATTTTAAGGCATTGAAAGATGATAAAGGACTTTATAAATTAAGTTATTAGTTCATTGATTTTAACAATTTTAAATTATTAAAAGAGCATAGAGAATTTATTTTACAAATTTATATTCTTTGAAAGAATATAAAGTAATTTTTTTCTGAAGAGAGAAAGAAAGTAATTTTTAATCATTCTTGCACTATTATATTTTATAAAAAGAAATTTTGTCAAAAGCATTTTTAAGTTTTTATTTTTAATAACATCAAGCAATTTAATAACAGTTTATAAGCTCCCTATTTTTTTTGGCTTTTTACTCTTAGTTTAATGTTTTGTTTTAGTTTGTGCTATATTATTTTAAAAATAAAAAGAGAGATGGTTTAATTTAGCTATATTATTTTAAGATTTAAAATTTCAAATATCATGTGAATATTAATATATATATATATATATATAATTGATATTTGATTATTTAATTAAATCTAAACTAATTAGTAAAATAAAACTTAAATTTGATTGTATATAAGAAGATATTTATTAAATTAGTTAAGTTACAATATAATAAGAAAAAACATGAAATAATATGTTAAAATCATTAATAATAATAATAATAATAATAAAAGTATTATTTTTTTTTGTAACAAATTACATATTAAAGTAATATTAGGTAAGTTGTTTATCCCAGAATTAAGTATAACTTTTTTCCTGTGCTTTCATTACAAGAATTGACCTTTCCCGTGTTTCATATTTTTAATGTATAACCTTTGATTCGTACATGTATGAAAAACTCCAATAAAATATAGAGAATTCATGTTCAAGTGTTGGTGCAGTAATGTGATAATTAGATAGTCAATTCGTAAGCATTTCCTGTGGCAAGATGAGAGCTGATATTGAAAGACATAAGGAAGTAAGTCATTGATTTATCATTGTCATTTCCACTTCCGCTCGACTACAGTTCAAGAAAGAAGACAAAAAATTGTGCATTAGAACAACTCGAAAAGGAATATAGTTTCAATTTTTAAAAGCTTATATAACAACTACGCATAATAGAAAATTGAAATTGTTAAATACTTCCTTCAATTCGCCTACTATTATTTAATAGTATATCTTAACTATAGAGATTATTTTCAGACAGAAAAAGAAAGGTATTTTTATATGTAAAAGGCCAAGTCAATTAAATTTCTGCTGAGAAAATTGATGCTAAGTTCAGCTACTGCACCTTCTCAAATGCCTCAGTCAAACCCTCTCCATCACCACCCTTTGTAGGCTTTATCATATCTGAACTGCCTCGGTTATATCTTGGATGTTATTTCCACTGCACTTGATAAACAAAACATGCTTTAGATACACTCTTAGTAAAAAGTCATACTCCATGTTTTTTGACTTGGATTGACATTTCCATCATGCAGATATGTGAAACCTGTATATATAAGAAATTGTGAAATTTAGTAGTCAAAAACCACACCAACAATCAAAGATTTAGCTAAATATCTGAGAAATTTGCAAGCATTTAGGTAAACTAAATATGAGTCATAATAATAATTTTTGCATGTAGATTTAAGTAACAAAAAAGATTAGGAGTTTTAAGACTTAGTTGCATATGAGACTATTTTTTAGCCAATTCAAAAGTAGTGAAACTGGTGGAAGTCATGGGAACTTGAAAAGAGAAAGAAATTGTACCGAGCCAAGAACTAACAACGTGTTCGGGGTCCAAATCTTGTGAAAATCGAACATCGTATTTGGTTTGGCAACAATGGGCACGATTTGGTTGCTCACTTCTCATGCCTAACAAATAACTTTTCTGCAAAATAGATATTAACAAAAGGGTTCAAAGTCATTCTCTTTACATATGAATTCAGCAAAATCATTTTAAAAGAGAATGATTAATAGTAGGAAAAAAAAAAGTAAATAAATATAACTTGAGATATCGGCCAAATATGAATAATCTTCCAACTCTTCTTCTTGGGAGTAACCTCAGAAATATTAGAGATTTATTCACCAAACCATAAACACACTCAAGAAGATTTTTGAAACACCTAAACTAAAATGGTTAAACTATATATAGCGGATTTCCCTGCCACAATCTAAAATCAATTTAAAATTTGAGATTCAAATTTTAAATCTCACCCTTATTGTTCATGTGTTGGGCACCACCCATTCATGCTTAGGTTTACAATGGTCCAATCAGTGTAGATGATTTCTTCCACTGAAAAATTTCCATTATCATGATGCAAAAGAGCCGAGGTCAGTTTGTCACGTTCTCTTCTATTTTCCCTCATATAGTCTTCTTTAACAAATTGCCAAAAATTCTTGACCCTCTCGCCGGTTTACTGAGAAGTTGTATTCCTACCTCTCCATTTTGCATGGATAAGGAAATTTATTTTGTCAGACCTAAAAGCAAGAAAATTACCCTGTCACTCAGAAGCATTTTTTTTTTTCTTTCAGTTTTGGGGGTCAATTTTGTTGACCA